ATCATAATGTTATGTTTGTGATATATCGCCCATCCTTAGACTATCCAGCACAAATTTTATAAATTTGATCTACGTTGCCAGAATGATTGAATGAATGCCAGAATGACTCTTCTGTTCAGCCTGCTGTTGGATATGGTTAATTCTGTGTGTGTGTGCACGTGTCTGTGTGTCTGCTCTTTTAGTTGAAAGTGCTGCTGTCACTAAAGGACGTGTGAAATCTCTCACTTTCTATCTCTCGCTCTCTCTCTCTGATTAATGCTGTTTTAATTAGTGTGTGCCTGAGCTGTGGTGAGGTTTGAGAGTGCTTGTGGTGCTCGTGTGTGTGGCGTGTCTGGGGCTGGAGTGGCGTTGGTGTGGGCGGCGCGAGCCCTCTGCTGCTCTGGCTGTCTGACCGTGGGCGGTCAGCTCTCTGCTCCACTCTGCTGCCCTCTCATCAGATCAGCCTCCTGCAGACCACATCCTCCACTCCACACACAGGAGAGAGGGAGAGAGAGACAGTGGAGATTAGGGAGAGAGAGGAGAGAGAGAGATACACAGAGTACTGTGTTTTTAAGTGTGTATTAGAGCAGCACGATATGGATAAATTACTAGTATCATGATGACATTGTTACATATGTGATACAACTTGCAATAAAAACTTGCGTGTTTGGTGTCAAATCAAATACTCATACTCATTTTTTTTTACATTTAAAAATGGCAGCTGCCCTTTAGACTCTAGAACTAGGAATAAAAATGTTCCACTAAAAGTTAAGAACATTTTTTCTTCTCCTAAAAAGTTGCCACTTTGATGAGGTTTTGTTCCTTTAGTGACAATATTAAAAAATGTAAATGAATAATGTGACAAAATTAAGAATTGGTCTGCATTTTAACCAAAATAATTACCTCGTCAAAACATATCAAAACACCCATAGAGACTCTCATCTGGAACTGTGACTGGTCAAGATAATACCCAGTTGGGTCTAGGGTATGTTTAGAGGACTCGTTTGTAAATTGCAGCTTTCTAAGATATTAGTATTGCAAAGGCCAGTATCATGATAACAGTATGATGTGCAGCCCTAGTGCAGGGGCCAGGGGTGCTCATGACCAGGGGCGCCCAAACAGTGCAAGGAAAACATTTTTTTTCCAGTATGTTAAATTCAGCAAATAAACAGTAATTGTGCATTTAAGTGTGCAGAAGTGTTACTTTTACTTAGAAAATCAACAAAGCATGTAGTTGGACCAGGGGTGCCCAAACTTTTGTATACAACTGTGTTTGCTGACTTTAGCATATTGATGAAAAATAAAATGTGGCATATGCCCAAACCTTTGTACATGCCACACTTTATGTTTTATTTTGTTCCTAATGTGAAATTCAGCAAGTACATTATAGTTGTGCAATAAAATGGAGAGAACTGTATTTTCTGTACAGGGCATCTAAAGTCATTTTCACCTTAATAAATATGTGGTTTGTCCAGGGGAGCCCAAAGTTATACATAAGACTGTAGGGGTTCAAAGCGTTAAATATATTGATCCCAAATTGGTAAAAATAGAATTATATTTGAATAATTGTAGTGTCAACACAGTTGCAGTCTGCATAGTGAAGCTACACACACACCAGTGTCTGGATGAAGACATTATCAAGAGTTGTGTATTCTGGCATCACTGATCTGTCCTCTGTCTCTGGACATGTATGGGTGTGTGTTTAGGACACTGTGTGGAGGAGTGCTGTTATATAGCGTTGTTTATAGCGTGTATAGCATTGTTTCAGCTTTGTTGGTGGCTTGTGGAGCTGCATTCTTAGGCTGTGCTTAAGCCTGCTCTCTAAGCAGATGGGTAAAGCAGCGTTATGTAAGCACATCTATCCCACTAATGGCCCTTTTAGCTGCTCTGCTCCTCAGCAGCTGCCCTCCCTGCAAAATATCACACAACACACACACAAACACCAAGCGTGTTCCAGAAGATTGCTGACGTGACACAAACAGAGAGACAGTCGCACACATAGAAGGTGTGTTCGGAAAGGTAACCGACATGAAACAGACTGTACGCACACAGTATGATTCCTAGCAGCTGTTTAATGGTAATGTAATCACAGTAAGGTGTGCGTGTACTCTTTCACTATGCACCTCTACACTAGGGATATTATTACTAAATTGATAGCGGCATTTGCTATACTGATATTGTGCATAGCTTCAATATGGAGATGAACTCTCTATGCTGAATAAAACTCATGCACTGAAATCTGTGCATTTCCACATGAATAAAATATATTATATTCCATCTACACAGTTTTTGTCTTTCCAGTTACTTGTTTTTGGTAGTGGTTGTGTTTATGTAATATGTTTTATTCATGTGGAAATTTTGTACACATTTGTAGTGGTGTCTGAATAGGTGGGTATTCTAAGGGATCTTCATACCCCAAAGTGTGTGTGTGTGTGTCTGTGCACCACAAACACACATAATCAGGAGTGTCTAATGGCACTTTTCCATCACATGGTACAGCTTGACTCTTCTCAACTCTGCTCGCTTTTGGTACCAGCTACTCCATTTTCTACTGCAGATATAGTGCCCCCTCAATATAGCTGGTCGTCATAGCGACACTGCCACAATGTGAAGGAATTTTGTTCAGAAGATAAAAAAACAGGAGACTTTTGGAAATACTACTTTAGATTTCAGACGATGAGATTGTTACGATTGTTTAAAGGCGACGCAAGAGGGTACCCTAACCTGGTAGCTAACATTAGCAAACATGTTTAGGTTGACAATCTCTCCAACCAGTCAGTATTTTTTTTTCTTTTTTCAGTTTTTTCTTTTTCCTTTTTCAGTTACCTTTTGGTACCAGCTCAGCTCGCTTAAAACCTTGATGGAATCAAATTCAAAATGGGCATTTGTTTTTCCAAAAATAATGAAATTTCAATTAAATATAGGGTTTAAATGATTTGCACATCATTGCATTCTGTTTTTATTTACATTTTGTGCAGCGTCCCAACTTTTTTGAAAAAAGGCTTGTATTTCTTGCGGTTTGTAGGTTGGTATACGGTAGATCATTCTTTTCAGAGATGAATATATGCCATATACCACCACTAGTGGGTATACCACCACACCAGTGGTTGCCAACCTAGACCTGGACCTCAGATGGCCCACATTTTTCCTCATCCCCAAGTGTTGTGAGTTGGGTTGGAGCAAAAACGTGTATTGTCTAGGGGGCCTTGAGGGCCAGGTTGGGAACCACTGCATGACCCAATTGCAATTTTGAACCAAATACATTCAATGAATCACTTTTTTCACTTTCTGTGGTGTGCTGTGAGCATCCTGACCAGTCACAGATGTTCTGAGGAGTGTTATGGTGGGTGTTCTGATGAACCAAACTGCAAATGCTAGTAATTTTGTTCACAGTTGCTTGGTTGCAACTCAGTCTTTACTCAGGTCCCATCAAAGGTTTGTCAATATAGAAATCAATCATAATATGTAGCAACATAATCACAATGCGATATTTTGTTCATATGGATCAGCCTTTCTCTACACACACGCATGTGGTCTGAAAGAAGAGGAGGCAGTATTTGAAAGTTGAAAGGGCAAACAGAGCTGTTTCATGTCGCATCTTCTCTGAGCAGAACTGGGTTTGGTCCCAGATCTCTAATTTGCACCCACACGCACAGCTCGTGCAGGTCAGTGCTGTGCTACATGCATTGTGATGTCCCTCAGGCTACATGACTTGACCTGTGTTAATGCACATGACTGCGCAGGGCACATGGTGAGTCAGGTGGTCTGGACCTCAGGTCCCTCTCATGATTCACACACACATACACTCAGACTGTGTACAGCTCTGGGAGGGCCATACAGAGGAGAGGAGTAGAGAAATGAAAGATATGTTTGTTCCTTTTCTCCGCTGACTGGGTTGACTTGAGGACAGGGGGGCTTGAGTACCTCTCTGTTTTAAACAAGCCTGTCTTGGCTCAGCGCAAACTGGGTGTGTTTCCTCTGTCCAGGCTACAGCTGGAAGACTGACCCTCAAAATGAATTAATTTAAAGTAATATGGGGTTTATGTAAGAAAATATTTTTCTGACATAAAATGACTAACTGAAAAATGCTGTTTGCTTAAGTATTCAACCCCTGTGATCTGGAAGTTCCAAGTTTGCACAGATAAAGGTAAAGATGCCCTAACGAGGGCAAATTTGGATGTTTGTTGTGAATCATTTAAGACCCCTTTAATTCAAGTACCACTGGTTAGACTGTGAAGGAAAGTTTGGAAAATGAAGGAAAGTTTGGAAAATGAAGACCATCCCGAGGCAATCAGAGATAAAGTTATATGTATATGAAGAAGACAGGGAAAGGCTAAAAATAATGTCCTAGTGTTTGGCTATCCCAGTGAGTGCTGTTGGATCAATTGTGTGGAAATGGGAGCTGCATCTTACCACCCAAGCACTGTCTAGACAAGGCTGTCCTTCACAACTCAGAGCAAGAAGGGGACTTGTTAGGGAAGCAACAAAGAAGCCAACAACCACTCTCAAGGAGTTACAGAGTTCAATGGCTGAGACAAGAGTGAAGGTGCACCAGTCAATGATATCAAGAGCTCTGCATGCAACTGGCCTGTATGGGAAGGTCGCAAGAAAGAAGCAATTACTAAAGAAAAAACACATCACACCACGTCTAGAGTTTGCTAGAAAACACTAGACTGACCAGAGTGTAGGATGAGGTTTTGTGGTCAGATGAGACAAAAGTGGAACTTTCTGGGCGAAGTTCAAAACATTATGTGTGGCACAAACCTAACTCTGCCCATTTCTCAACAAACACCATCTCAGCAGTGAACTATGGGAGTGGCAGCATCCTGTAGTGGGGATGCTTTTCCTCAGTGGGAACTGGGCATCTTAAGCTTTTCAAAAATTTTATGCGTGAATTTTATACATGATTCCAGTAGCGTTCTAGGTGGTGATGATTTCTGTGTGACTCTGTAAATGTATATTCTTTTTGCATAGTACATTTTTGAATTTCAAAACCTCTTCTGTTTGTTTCGGTTTGACAGCTGCTGCATCCACTGAAAATGAAGAGCGAGTTTTCCGTGAGCGCATGCGGCCCCGAAAGCGCCAGGGGGCAGTTCGGAGGCGTGTTCATCAGGTTAATGGGCACAAGTTCATGGCCACTTACCTGAGACAACCAACTTACTGTTCCCACTGTAGAGACTTCATATGGTAAGCGCTCTCTCTCTCTCTCTCTTTCTCTCTCTCTCTCTCTCTCCTGTTCATGTTATGATATTATCATAAAAAGCCCAATAGAGCTTTTTCCTTTACTGTGTTTCTTTGTTTCTGTGTTATGTACTGTATTTTCATATGCATGATTTATAATATCATTGTGTGCATGTAATTTACATCCCCAAAACACAGAACAGACTGCTAATAGCCCAGACATACAGACATGGATATTTTTGCATCTCTAACTGTCTGGTCTTCACTTCTATTTTAAGTCTCAAGGCTGTACAGTTAGTCAATTTGCATAACTGGTAAACAGTGTGCCTGTGTGACACCAGACAATGTTGTCTTTTTTCCCGTCAGTAAGTGTGGCGATCACATGGGTGACCTTTTTTGTGCTAAAGGCCCCCTCTGCTGGTCAACAGTGAATATGTAGAATTTTGACTGCAATCCTATGCCATGGAAAATTCAGATGTGTATACAGGCTGACAGAGCGTGAGATCTGCTTTGTCTAACACATGTTTTCTGTGTCATCTTTGCAGGGGCGTGTTAGGAAAACAGGGATACCAGTGTCAAGGTTGGCACCGTTCACTTCTACATGTGTGACAAGATTTCTTTACCCTAGAATCTCTAAAATTCGTATATTACCATAGTAGAGGTCAGGATTTCCTGCAAGGTTTCTTCTGAAATGTCCTTGTGCTGTGCCAATGAAAATTTAGAATGAGTTAGAATGAGAGACTGGTTCTGAGGTCAGCGTTCCTTAAATATTATCATTTCATATTGTTTTATTGCTGTGTATTGGTACTGCATTGTGTTGATTTGTGTGCTGTTCTGGCAGTGTGTACCTGTGTGGTCCATAAACGATGTCATGAGCTCATCATCACAAAGTGTCCTGGCCTAAAAAAACAGGATGACACACCAGAAGAGGTCAGCGATCACTTTGATTTAATTCATTTTTGCAGACTTGAATACCTAAATTAGAACCTATCCAGTACAATTGAACAGTGAGCATTGTGGGTAATGTAGTTTTTGTGCACAGGTTGGCTCTCAGCGCTTCAGTGTAAACATGCCTCACAAGTTCAGTATTCACAACTATAAAGTACCTACCTTCTGTGACCACTGCGGCTCTTTACTGTGGGGACTGATGCGGCAAGGGCTGCAGTGCAAAGGTGAGGCATTATGGGAAATGTAGTTTTTGTGGTGAAAATTAGATTAGCACAGGGGTCGTCAACATGCATCTTCAGAGCAGCGTGTGGCTCATTTACTGCCCTGTTACGTCTCCAAAGTAGAATTAGATTTGTATGTAAAAATAAAATTATCCTCCTTTGCAGTAACATAAAGCTTTGCTGATCATTCTAACACAGTTCTAACAATAAATGGTCTTAAACGCTGGAGTTAAGGAAGCCTGTATGTTCTAATTCAGCCTTTAAACCTGAAGGCTGGTATGCAGACTGCTGGTCACCATAGCAACACAGACAACAGTAGTTAGTAGCTAACAAAAAGGCAAACAAAAAGATTTAAGACTAACATAGATTATTTGGAGACGAATTGACTTACTTGCATTTATAAGCACTCCAGCTGGTTTCCTGATATGTTTAATCTGCAATGAGAAACTGTCAAATACTAAAAAGTCACAAAGCTGAAGTCAGCATCTTGTTTGAATTTTCCCGTTCCTCCTTAAATGGTGCAGCAGTTACATTCTGGCATCTCAGGCATCATTTAAGGTGGAACGGGAAAATTCGAACAAGAAGCTGGTGAATGAGAAGTGACTTCAGCCTCATAAAAAGTCGAAGGTTGAGAGACGTTTTACAAGAAACTGTTCTACATTTGCGGAAAAGTTTCCTGCCGGAGATGCGAGAAAAGCAGCTATAGCTGAGCTAAAGCTTAAAGCAGGGCAAAGTAAGTCTGCATTTTCATTCATTTTATGTTTATTTAGCCTATAATAGGACATTAGCACATACTAAGACATAATTATAGCCATGATGGTAAAATGGACATAAAACGTAGTGGCTTCCGAGGTGGTTTGATTTTTGTTGAAACAACAGAATGGCTCTTCTTAACATTTGAGTTGCCAACCTCTGGGTTAGCATAATATTCATGGAAAATATAGCAAAGTGGCTTTTGATATTTCCTCATGGTGTTTTGCTTGTACCTCTCTTTCTGTATGTTTGTGTTTCAGTCTGTAAGATGAATGTGCACCGGCGTTGTGAGACTAACGTAGCTCCTAACTGTGGAGTGGATGCTAGAGGAATCGCTAAAGTTTTGTCTGATCTTGGAGTGACGCCAGACAAAATCTCCAACAGCACCCAGCGCAGAAAAAAGGCAAATATAATTCCTGGGCCAGGGGTGGGTTGAGCTGTAAAACCATCAAAATCGATTGAATGAGAATGAATAGCCTGTACGGTCTTACCGTGTGCATTAAAAAAGATGATTCTCATTTTGAAATGAGTGAGTATTAGTGATGATAATGGTGATGATGATTGACTAGAGAGGGTTGGTGATAGATTAGAGAATGACAGTAATCACAATAAAGTGCAGTGAGATTAGAAGAGGTGGAGAAGAGGATGTTTCATGCTTTTATCTCTCTGCAGCTGACTCCAGGCCAGGATGCCCAGCCGGCCTCATCGGAGCCTGCCTCAACAGAGGAATCTGACCGCTGCAAATCAGCTCCAACGTCACCCTGTGACCAGGGTAATGAAGAGCTTATCATTGCTGTCATAACAAAACCTTCCATCTCTAAAATTATAACTTTGTAGGACAAAGAAAGTTCAGAGGTTTTGATATTACTGATATGAGGGATATTATTCTCCCTCTCTCTCTCATATTGCTCTTCCCCTGCGTTTAACCCTGCATTGTTTATTTTTCTCTCCATCTCAGAGCTGTCAGAGCTTGAAAGCATCCGTAAAGCTTTGTCATTTGGCCAGGAGCACAAGTCTTCCTCTTCCTCCATAGGCGGTGGGCTCCAGGGCTCAGGGAATGAGGGCCGCGAGAACGGAGATGTGAAAAGTGTCCAGTCGAAGAGGATGAACCTGGCTGACTTCTCCTTCATCAAAGTGCTGGGCAAAGGCAGCTTTGGCAAGGTAGAGACACCTGAGCCCCCTAAATGTTACATTGCAAGAGTAACTTTGTAACAAATGCAGCATTTTAAACTATAAAATGAAGAGTCTCACCCCGTCTCTTCTGTAGGTGATGCTAGCAGAACTCAAAGGGACAGATGAGGTGTACGCTGTAAAGGTGCTGAAGAAAGACGTGATCTTGCAGGATGATGATGTTGACTGCACTCTAACTGAAAAACGCATTCTGGCATTGGCCAGAAAACACCCGTACCTGACCCAACTCTTCTGCTGCTTCCAGACCAAGGTATGGGATTAATGCCCAGTGATAGCCAAACCACAACCAAGCCATGAGCAAACCACAATCAGACTACAACCAAACTTCACTCAAAACACAACCAAACCACAAGTAAACTATAATGAATTCCTAACCAAACTATGACCAAAAAAAAACAGTACCAGATTGCAACTAAATTACAACTGCTTTTTAAATGCTATTTAAAGAACCATATAGAACATGTTTTTCATCATCAAGCAGAACCAATTAACCAATGCAAAGAACTATTTATGCATTCAAAAAGTTCTTCACATGTTCACAGTTCTGTACAGAACTACTAAAGAACCCTTGACAACCCATTTTTTTAAAGGAGAGATCACCACTTTTTATGACCACTGTCTACATGGCTGAACCACTTTTTCAACTGTTTAACAGAAGTCTAGAATTATTAAATCCCCATTACATAATTATTATAATGTAATTTTATAGTTACGTGATGAACTACACTTTAATTCACTTTACATTCTGTATCCATTGGTTGCACTTAAAACATTTTACTTTGTTTCACTGTCAAGAAATTAGATACCAATGGTGAGAATAATAGTTTTCTTATCCACGCAAAATTGTTAACATAACGGTATCTTTTAATAGATATCCCTTATTATTATTACAAACACAAGTATGGTTTGATATTGTTGGCAAAAGCTGTGCCTTCTGAGGGCTAATGATCAGCCCATCACAGACCTCTCAGTTACTGTAATTTATAACGGAGAAATGATTGACTGAGATGTAGATTGATGGAGTGTGATAGCAAAATCATTTCCTGCTCCTTCAAGTGTTTGTCCAGCAGGTGGTGTACTGTGACAGACATCTTAGACATCACAGACAAAGTCAGTCCAGAAGAGGGCGATGTTGACACAGTCTTACATCCCAGCAGGGAGGAGACTGTTCTTAGCTTTAGACTGTAAGCAGAGAGTTTGCAGAAAGTGGTTTGGGGTGATGCTTTCACTCAACAAGACTGTGCATGTTTGTGCAAAATAGCTGTCAGTTTTGTGTTCCTAGTTGATGAGGTTTGATAAGACAGATTAGAATTTTGTTTATAGACAATTGCTACACAATTCTTATGGAAAGGGGCAAAAACATGATGAAATAAATCATTTGCTAGTTGTGTTAGTGTCAGTGATACACAAAGCAACATGCGATAAAATGCTAACTTTAATAAATGCTAGAGTTTTCCAAACTTGTTAGTTTAGTTCAAAGTTCTCCTAACTCACATTTTTTAGTTCTGCATCTCATTTAGGTAAACTCTAGAACTAGTACTAATTTCCCCATTAGCTTGGTTTCATCACATAATTCCCACCAGGCATTTTCTCCTCTTGAACCGTTTATGGATGGCTGGGACATCTCTGAGATTCAAATTCGTGATCTCCTGATGTTGGGGTGAATGCTTCGACAGTGGCACCACTCAAGAGTCTCTGACGTTGCTCAGATTTTTGTGTTTCTAAAAGTGAAAAATGTAACAATATTTTTTTCCAGATAGGTTTGGATCATTTATAGTAGTCCATTCATCATGAAATTTTAATACAAAAGCATTTTCATATTCTGTAAAAAAACAACAGTGACCGTATTCAGCTAAGTGAATACTTTTTTTCTCAGTCTCTTTTCCTGATGCCTGATCTCTGTCTTTTTCACACATCTATTTAGTCACCACAGGTTTTTATATACATTTCAGAGTCTGAAGGCTCCATCAGGAAACAAAGCAGTGGAGCAAAAGCACAGTAGGGGATAGTAGAAGAAACGGCTGAAGAGAGTACTGAAGAAAGGAGAGAGGGAAAGAGAGGAAAATAGAGAGATGAATTGATTGGGGGGTATGCACTCCAGCTGAACTTCAGGCTCTGTTCTTAATCAGCACTGGGATCACAGCCATGCTCTTATCGGCCGTAATTACAGCGCAGAAATGTAAATAACATTACACAACGGGTTCTGAGGGGCCTGTCCAGACCATGGACAGACATGTCTGTGCAGAGAAAGAGACAGAACTCCAAAGGAGGAACAGAGAGGAGAGGAGAAAGGAAGAGAATAGCGAAGAAAAGAGGAGCGAGAAGAGTAGCTGAGTTGAGATGAGCAGCATGGAGGTGGAGTAAAATAGTCTACAGGGCATTATCAGAAATCAGAAAGACTGGAGAAGAACATAGAAGAAAGGCGAGGATAAGCCAGACTTTGGCAATTCAGAAGTTAAACAAGCATAAACGCATTACAATGTGTGTATATATTGTAATGCATTTATGCATGTTTAACTTCTGAATTGCCAAAGTCCGGCTTATCCTCGCCTTTCTTCTATGTTCTTTATGTTCTTCTCCAGTCTTTATATATATATACATATATATATGATTAGTTCTGTATCATAAAACCTCTCCAGCTCAAATCAGTGGTACTGCATGGAGCTCCATCATTCCAGAGAACACAGTCCTACTGCTCCACATTCCAATGCTGGGGGACATTATATACGTTTAGCCGACACTTGCCATTGGTATTGGACCTATTGAACTTAGGGTCATGTGCAGCTGTTCCAGAGTTTCCCATTCTATTGGTCAGTGCTTTTTTGTGGAGATTATACGAGCTGTGTGCACTATATATACATATTATATATCATTGTTGTTGTCATAACAAAATATTCAATGTCAGAAAAGGAAAACTTTATAGGAGGAAAAAGAAACATTTTTTACTTTTAATGCAATAAGAAATGTTCATGCAAAATATATGTGTATGCTCATTTGATTAACTGAAAGAAAAAGTTAACTAAGACCAACTGGCACCTGTTGTTCAATTAAACTAGACACATACAGTCATCAACAAGACAGTGATATGAAGCACAAGACCAAGTCCATCTCTGAATGGCTGAAAGAAGCAAAATTGAGGTTTTGGAGTGGCCTAGTCAAAGTCCTGACTTGTACCTCATTGAGACGCTTTGGCAGGATCTTAAACGGGCAGTTTATGCTTGAAAGCCCTTCAGTGTGGCTGAACTAAAGCAATTTTTCAAAGTAGAGTGGGCATAAATTCTTCCAAAATGTCACAGTGAAGTGAAAGACTGATCACCAGTTATAGAAAGCGTTTGGTTGCAGTTGTTTAGGGGGGAATTATTTTTTCACATGGGTGATATTGGTGTTGTATATATAACAGTGGATCACACACAGCAACATTGCTGCAATTTTTTAACAGCTCAGTTTAACTGCTGGGCTGAGAGGGGTTGTCAACCAATCAGAAATATACAAAAACAGCGTCCTGTGGCCAGAAACTGACCACTGACAAAGGACTAGACATGAATAATTCAAGCTGTGCAGTGACGAGCTATCATATCTAACTTTACACCTACGATGTGAATCAACAAGTTGTGTCTAATATAGTGAACAGTGTAAAGTGTACACAGTGTTTAAAAACTCCAACAATGGTTTGTCTGAGTTTTTTCCAGTGTTTCCCCTGTGACTGAATAGGCTGAACTCCTGTGCCACTCGGCTCGCATAGATGATGTTTGCTTCTGATTATTCTTTTGTGGGATTCACTCTTTAAAATTCTCAGTCTAGTTTTGAATGTAAAGCTACACCAATTCAGTTGCTAATTCCAACACAAATCCAGTCATTGATGTAGCAGTGTGACATAGCAGTGTTTGGTCGAGGCAAGCTGTCTTTTGCCAGAAAAGCAGCATCTAGCCATCTCTAGTCTTCTTTTCAAAATTTCTTGATACTTAAAGAAGCAAAGTGTGTGTTTGAGGAGTTTTGTGTTCATGAAGCAGCTTCAGGTGTGAGAGGAAGTTTAAGAACTGTTATTATAACTGCTAGGTGGAGTGCTCACATTCCAGGAACTAGCTTAGACGCACAGCAAATTTAGCTGCTAAACAGTCTCCAAGAACAAAAGATGTGTATGTCATTGTTTCCCTGTATCCCTTTGTTTTTCTTGAGGCCACACTTAGAATACGATGTTTTTGCAGGTTTGCTTTTAATGGGTGTGAATTGTGTTTGTTTCATGCTTGTGCATTTGTGCAAGATGAGATACAACAACCCCAAGAGTGAAAGAATGGGAAAAAGAATGCAGCTCTTAAGAAAATGACCTCTCTCCTAACCATGTCCAGCTGAAGGCTGGCCTGAGGTCATTGTATCTGTCTGCTGTTTGCTGACTAGTTCCAATTCATCCAGGCCCTTGTCCTGACCTTTGAGGTATTAGACTTTGATAAATAACATTTTAGTATAATGACTAAATTCTTTATATTCATTTGACACAAGAAGAGTTTTAAAAAGAATAACAACTGATGTGTAACGCACTTCAGTATTAATTAAACGTAGTATTAATCATAGTATGCATTAATATGTCTCGTATGTGCAAAGCCCACTCCCAACAACAGAATTCATAAAAGAGGCAGGGATGTACATAGATAAACCTCAAGGGGTCTTGAGCCCGTGTTGCCTTTGCTGGCGCATCTAATAATTATTTTTTTATATGGCCATTCTTCAAGATAAGTTTCAGCGAGGCGTGGCTGAGAAGAGTTAGATTCTCAGCTCGCATTCAACAAGCTTCGTTCTTGAGCGCCCCCTCTGGTGCAATACTGACTGCATGTGGAGATTTCATCACAGTAACTTCAAACTGTTGCAAATGCATGCAATAAAAAAGTGCTGGTAATCCCAACCATAAAGCATTAATAATGTCAGCATCACATTCCATAATGCAGTGATGTGACAGAAAGAAGCTACCCTAAGTTTTGTGATTAGAAGAAAATGCTCTGTTTTACTCTTAAATACAGCTATAACACACTGATATATAGCGATTAGATAGTGTAGTGGAAAGTGCTGTAGCTTTGCATGCTGGACATTGTTGAATCAGATCTCTGGGCTGTAAAGCTATTATTTCTGCTGCCTTGGAAAACTCTTCAACACTACGTTTGGTTTCCTCTGAAAAATGATTACGCTCTTGATAAGGCACCTGCCCCCCAAAATCTCTATGCAGAGTCCTGGAAAAAAGTGGCTTTTAATGTGTTTTGG